CCCCGCGGGGCAGCGGCTCCTTGCCGGACGGCGCCCCCTCCTCCAGCAGGGCTGGGCATCCTCTCCCATCAGCGCCCGCGGGAACGCCCTTCAGAGCCCGGGAGAGAGCGTGTGGTCAAGCCGCCCCGCCCCGGACGAGAAGTGCCTCGTTTCCGCTTCAAGCCTGTGGGCCTGGGCTGTGCTTTGTGTCCGACGTCTTGTCGCGGATCAGCGGCAGAGCCGGGCTTCAGGGCGCAGGCCTGGGACGTTCCCACAGGACGGCCACCTACCAGGGCCCAGAAAACAAGGCCAGGTCTGGGACAGAACAGCCTAGAGCCTAAGCTTTGCCGTGGTAGCAGACTGGGGGGATGGTGACGTTAGTGGAGCGGAGAACACGGGCCACGACCCAGGGCAGGGTGCTGCATAAAAGGGAGATCGTTCTAGCTTCAAATCTCACTTTTCTGTCGGCCAGTGCATTGTGACCTGGAACAGAGGAGTTAACCCTGTGGGCCTTGGTTCTGCCAGTTGTCAAATGGGAACAGTACTGAGCCTCCCTCACAGGACTGTTGTCAGGCTCAGCGCTTAAGAGAATTGCGTGGGACCACACAGCCGAGAGATGGTGGTGCTGGGCTTGGAACCTGGGCTGTGGGGCTCCAAACCTCATCTGATCCGGGGACTGCTTCACCGTGGTGAACTGTGTGCTCTTCCAGGGCAGGGAGGACAGAGCTAGCCGATTGGGAGGCAAGAGGGCCTGGGTTCCAGACGCGGCCACTCCCCAGCTCCATGATGGAAGGCTTCACCATTCCCTTCTGTAAAATGGGCTCATAAATCCGGCTCTGGTCTACCTCACAGGCAGTGCGAGGAACCGATGGGTGTGAGAAAGCTCTGTGGGCAGCAAGGCATTGCAGACATGTTTGGGGAAATGTTTGTTTTGCTGTTATGATCTTTGGGGAGATCTTCAGATCTTTAGAACCGTCGAATCTGGGGACTAGCAGGGACTTCTGAGTCCAGCCCTTCAGCTGATGTGAGGATCCCAGCTACAACTCCCTGCCGAGAGCCGCATGGCTTCAGCTCACCTTCCTCTAGGAATAGGTGCTTAATACCCCCCCAGCAGCCCACCCCACCTTCACACTGCTCTGCCTGTAAGAAAATTCTTCCTTGGGCTGCACTGAGGCTGGTACCACCATCGCCACCCCCACCCGGCCGCAGTTTTCATGTGGGGGGGGAGGGTGCCCTCTGGGATGTCCTTTTAGGACTGTTTTCTGCTCCAGGGGCTGTCACCTGCGTTCCCACAGCCCATCCTCAGGGGACAAGCTCTCCAGTGTTCTGGTCCTTCCCTCTCAGAGTAACATCCAGAGCTGAGTACGGCTACTGGGGAGCTGCAGGGACTGCCTTTCAAAGAGCCCCATTTTACTGAAAAAGGAAACCGAGGCTCTGGGAGGTGGAAGGACTTGCCCAAGGCCACGTGGACAGGAAGCCACAGGGCTGAAACTGAAGCTCAGGCAGGGTCCCAGGGGGCCCCTCCTACTTTTTTGTTCTGTCCCCGGGACCCCTGTGACGCAGCTGGAAGGCTCCTAAGCCTCGTGGAGGTCACCTGGCCTGAGCTCACAGCTGATCCGGGCCTCCCGTGTTCCCCACTGGCTCTGCTGAGCCCTGTGTCCCCGCAGCCTGTTCTTGGACAGAATGTGACCTTCATCCGTGTTCAGCGGTAGCCTGTTGGATTCCTGCCTTCTCTGCGAGGCTTGGGTGGTCCTGGCGCACAATCCATCGCCAGTCCCGGCTGGACTTCCTTCCCGCGTGTGTCTTGACACAGTCCCCATCTTCGTGTTCCTAGTGCAGCCCCTGCTGTCTCTGGATCTTGCCCAACTCCCTGGCCTCAGCTTTGCCCCCCTAGGTGCCCTCTGCAGCCTCCCCTCCCCATCGCCCCCATACAGCGATCTTTCCAAAATCTTTCATGCCATTTCCCGACTTTACTGGTGCCTTGTGTCCCTGGGGAAAAAGCCCAGTGCCTTGGGATGGGGAGTTCGTTTGCTAGGAATGCTGAGACAACGGATTGGTACCAACTCACGGTTCTGAAGGTGGGAAACCTAGGTCAAGGTGTGGGCGAGTGGCTTCCTGCTGAGGGCTGGGAAAGGGAATCTGCCCCAGACTTCTCTCCGGCTTCTGGTGATTTGCTGACGAGCCCCAGCCTGAGCCTGATCGCTGCCTTCATCTCCAGGTGGTGCTCTCCCTGTAGGTGTGTCTGTGTTCAAATTACCCCCTGCCTTTTTCTGAGCTGGAATCTCATTCTGTTGCCCTGGTTGGAGTGCAGTGGCACAAGGACCATTCACAGCAGCCTCCACCTCCTGGGCTCAAGCAATCCTCTCTCCTCAGCCTCCCAAGGAGATGAGACTACAGCCTCATGCCACCACACCTGGCTAACTTGTTGAATTTTTGTAGAGACAAGGTCTCACTATGTTGCCCAGGCTGGTTTCAAACTCCTAGGCTCAAGCAATCCTCCCACCTTGGCCTCTCAAAATGCTGGGATTACAGGCATGAGCCACCACGCCTGGGCAAATTTCCCCTTTTTATAAGGGCTCTAGTCGAATTGGGTTAGGGGCCTACCCTACTCCAAGATGGATCTTAACTGATTACATCTGCAACCACCTAATGTCCAAATAAGATCATATTCTGAGGTATCAGGGGTTAAGACTTCAACATAAGAATTGTTGGAGGCTGGGGAGGGAGGGGACACAATTATTCAACCCATAACAGGTGACATAGGAGACCCTTGATGATCATGCCCCTGCCTCCCAAGCCTCACTTCCTCCCACCCCATCTTGGCATCACTGTAGAATCGAATGGAACAGTCTTTAGTTCTAGAAGTGCCCTGTGCAGCCTCTGAGCCTTTCTGCAGGGTGTTCACTGGGTGGCCCGACCTGCCTGCAAAACTTCTCTCCATCCCAGTGTGCATTCCCAGGTTACCACACCCATTCCTCAAAACCTTACACAGATGCCCACCCAGCCTGACCCTGCCTGACTGCCGTGATTGTTTCCATACGAGTCCCCCTCCCTGGACTTGTTTATCTCAGGGCTGGCCCTCAGCGGGCTCTCCGCGGAGTTTGTTGCATCGAGTGTAATCTACAAGTCCATCACTGATCAGAGAGCCAAACAAGGCTCCCGGATGTCTCTGGTTCTCTGTGGGTCCCTGCAGCCCTGCATCTTCTTTCAGAGCCCAGAGGCCATCCGGTGATAGACCCTTCCTCTAGAAAGCCCTCTCGGCTTTCAGCTCCTCAGGCAGGCTTCTGGAATCCACCTTCTTCCTCTTTTAACAAGTTCTTCTGGAGGGCAGGAATGACTTTTGCCCATTTGCTTTGCTTCCCAAGAATGGGGGAGCTGGTTTCCAGTCTCACGGCCCATCCTAGGATCTTTCTTCTTGGCCTCCCGGCACATCCACAGCTCTCTTCGAGGCTTTAGCAATCTGGGGCCTGGGCCTGCCCAGGGCCGTGCTTTCTGCAGGTCTGAGCACTTCTCCGGCCCTGCAGTCACACTCTCTGGCACTCCCTGTCTCTCTCATCAGGGTTCTTAGCTACGGAGACAACAGCACGGTCCTAGTTCCCCCTCAGCCAGTGACCTGCCGACTCTGACACCAGATGCCACATTGGGCCCTCAGGGAGCCAAGATCTGGGCTTGGAGGGTCCACCAACAAACCATGCCTTTAAAATAACCCTGCACCTCATAGGGGTGCTATGAAACTGTGCGTCTGTGCCTGTCTGCCCTGCTCCCATCCTTTCTGCAGCCCCCAGAGTGAGCAGCTTCCTGGAGGAGGAGGAGGAAAGGAGGTGGGGGGCAGAAGGGAGAAGGCTGGGTCAGAGTCAAAGCCCACTCAGAGGAAATGTGATCAGCCGTGTGTGTGTCACCAGCAGGTGTCATGGGGTCTGCACTGTCCCTGCTCACCCTCCTGGTAACTAGGGTCCGGGGGGTGTCTGGACAGGGCAGGCCCAGGCCTCCCATAGAGGTGCCAAGCATGCATCCATGGGAGCAGCTGCAGACGCCCCTTGATCCAGCCCTGGAATCCCCCCTGCTCCCTCTGTTTCCTCTGGGACATCTCTGGGGACCTTTGAGCTCTCTGCCTACACAGCCACCCCCGCATAGGGTGTCACAGGCAGCCCCAGAGCATCCACAGTGAAGCCAGGGCCTCTGAGGCAGAGGGCAGAACACAGGGGCTGGCAGGGGGCACACATGATTCACAGCCTCGAATGGTCCAGGGACACGAGACACCCCCTAGTCATTCTCTCCTTGACCAAGAGCTGTGTCCAGGGAGGGATTTTCATGACATTAGGAGTTATGACTGGACAAGCCAGGGGCACTCTGGGGATTAAGCAAGGGCAGCGCTTGTTGCTAACTGTGACCTTCGGGCCAGCGGGGCTCTGAGGCTCACCGTGTGCACAATAGGACCCAGACAATCTGGGGATTAACCTTGAGTGAGTCATGGGAGTACTGGGAGGGGCCAGCGTCTCTCGAGGTGGGGGGAGGGTGGCCCCAGGAGGGTGGGGGTGCCAGCCCCAGCCAGGGAGGAAGAGGCTTTGCAGTCTCTGCAGCTGCCAGCAGGTCATAGTCAGACAACGCCGACCAGCTTCTGTTTAGACTTGCTGTAGCACAAATCATTTTTAAAACCCAGGCTGCAAAGTTCCAGGCTTTGGGGCCTGCCAAGTTCACGGTGCCCCTGTGTAGTCATTAATACTTCCCTCCCAAATTTATTAGTCTTGAAGCTCGCCCATAACTTATGAATTACAGCCCCTGGTGGGAATGCCACAGATTTCACCATATATCACAGGGAACCTTCTCGTCCCCCACACTGCTGCAGCGTCCAGAGAAGCCGCCACGGGGGTGTGCCCGGCCAGCCTGCTCTGTGCCAGCCCTCTGCCAGCGGGTGAGGGACTGCTGGCACCAGGGTTTGCCCTTGGAGAGGAGAGGGCCAGGGCACTCACGCAAGCGGTGTGCCTCCGCTGGCCTCCAAATTTGTGTGCCTGACGGAGACACTGGAGTCCTTGGAGCCCGAGGGCTGTGGAACTAGGCTGGGAGCACCTCACACAAAGTAGCATTTGAAGCCACCAGAAGGACATGGGTTTAGGACTCAGATCTGGGTTTGAATCTCAACTTGACCTTGAACAAGGGACTTAACCTCTCTGATCAGGGCTGACTTCTTGGACGTGTGACCTGTGCGGTCACACAGGGCCCCAAGCTTGGTTCAATGCTCAGCTGTTGCCCTCTTGAAATTCTTAATACTTTTTGGAAAAGGGGCCTATACAGTATGTAGCTGGCCCTGTCTCTGAGCTCCAGTGCTTTTGCAATGAGACTACTAGAAGTTCTTCACTGAGAAGGATTGGGCGTTGAGTTCAGTCATACACTCGGCTCTCGTGCCTGGTATACAGTAGGTGCTCAGTGAGTATTTATTAGCGTCTTCCCTCAGTGAGGGCTGCCAAGCTATGGAACAGAATTTGGAATTTGGGAACAGGAGCCACAAACCAGGAATCAGGGTCTGGGTCTGCACAGGATGTGTGACCGGGCACCCTTGCCCCGCCACCACAATGAAGCCCATGCAGCCTGCCCAGTCCCTGCAGCCTCCAGAAGGCCCGCCAGGCTGACTCACCACCCTTCCTCTCCACCTCTGCCTCACTGGGCAGGTCGGAGGCTCCACCCAAGAGGGAAAAGCCACATAATGAGCGTTGCCACCGCTGCACTTGATGGGCTTTTGGGAGGATGAGTCAGGTGGAGTTTGCCAAGTGCTCACATCCTGGGAAGAAAAGCACCAGGCAGCAGAGGGCAGCTGCCACAGAACCACCCAGGACTTGGGACCAGGGGCTCAGGACGGTGAGGGACAGCCCTGGGCTAGACATTCAAGATCTCAGGGAATCTTTGCAGCACACCAGCCGAGTAGACACTTGTTATCCCCATTCTATGGGTGAGGAAGCTAAAGCCCAGAGTGGTCAGGGTATTTGGCTAAGGCTGCACAGCAAGTGCCTGCAGAGCTGGGGTTAGGCCCAGGGCTGTCTTGTTCTGATACCTGTGTTTGCGCCCATTCTTTCCTGCCCCTCCACAGACTGCCGGCTTGGTCCCCCGTGGGGTACAGCCTACATGGCCCTAGAACTGCCTGCTTACCTGTCCCCAGAGCTGCCTGCATGTCTCTAGAGCTCCTCAGTGCTGAATCAAAACAAATCCCAGGGGCAGAGACTTATTCTTTGGTGGAAGGTGGGCAGCCCTGTGGGAGGGTGGGAGGCAGACCAGCCCGTTCCCAGCCACAAGCATCTGTTCCTGCCTCCACTACCACCCCCTGGCTCCTAGACACCCAGTAGTCACCTCTCTCTCTGCAGGAAGTACCAGGGAGTGTGGGTGAGGCCTATGACCTGGCCACAGTCTTCTGTCCAGTCCAGCCTGATGGGATATGGGAAACCCCCCACCATGTGGGGAGCTCAGCAAAATGTGGCGCCTGCCCTCAAAGACTCTGGGGCCCCTCTGTGGGTGGGGACAGAACTGCAGCCCAAGTGGTCAGTTCTGGAAGAAGAGAATCAGCAGGCCTGAGTGGCACAGAGAGCAGGTCGGGCTGACACCGCCCTGCTAGAGAAGTCCAGGAGACCTTGCTCTCAGACTTACGCCTTAAAGCTCACTCTGAGGCCCTGAGTGGGTCCTGGAGCAGACGGCGTGGGGTCAGGGAGAGCAGACTGGATGGCCCTCCAGTCGCCACCTGGGGACCTGGGCTCTGTGTTAGGCACATCCTGGGAGTGGTCGGTCCCATCCATCAAACCCATAGGCAGGGCAAGAGCCCAAAGTGGGAATCATGAAGTCTGTCGGAAGGCTGGACACAGAGCCATAGCAGAGGGTTCAGGGGTCTCTCAACTGGGCACGGACTTGGTGGAAGTCCGGTCCTTGGTAAGTAAGAAAGAGAGGCACCGAGAAGTGACCAGGGTCTCAATCTGGAGGGGCATGGGGCCAGTCACCAAGATGGAGGACGTGGGAAGGAGGTGGAGAAACTAGGTTCTATTTTGGATATGTTGAGTCAGAGGTCGCTGGAGGTCATCCAGAAGTCATCTGGGGATGGTTGGCCAGACCAGGCAAACTTGGGAGCAACGTCTGGGCTGAAGGTCACCTGGCTTCGGTTATTTTTATCAACAGCTTAGAGGAACAGGCGAGCGTCCTCAAATATGTAGCCAACGCAGGGTCCTATCATGACAGCATATCCCTAAACAGACAGAACCTGGACTCGGATGCCTTTAGCAAGTTGACATTTGCCCGGGATGCTGAGTCCTTGGGGGGGCCACACAAGCACAGGGTGATGAAGGCCAGGCCTGGCCTCTGCTGTTGCAGAGACCTGCGCCCTTACCAAGGCCCTGAGAGAACAACTTAGCCAATGTATGGGGGTGTTGAGGTTTGAGATCAGGTTCAATTCCGCTACCCTTCCATGACCCCAGAGCCCAGTCTGACAGGTTGCCAGATGGAGCCAAGTCAGCAGAGTAGGGCTGTTGCTGAACATGCGAGGGGATGTTAGGATCCTTGAGGGGGATGATCATGCCAGATCTTGGGAGCACCAGCCTATTAAAAAATCACAGCTTTGCAGGGCAGTGGCACGGATGAAAGGAGAACCATGTGTGAGGCCAGCCCCTCGGTCTGGAACTTGGACGGTAAACACCAGTCCCCTCCTCCCTCCTCATTCTGGTCACATCTAGAGCCCACAGTGAAGCCTTCAGCGTGGAAAGGGATGAAGAATGGACAGGAGCTTTCTAGAGACTTCTCAGGAGGGATGTGAGAGGCTCCTTAAGTGGTGGAGTGTCTGTCATGTGGACCGTGGGTAGAAATGGGCTTGTCATTGGAACCTGTGCAGAAGGCAGGACTGAGATCTGCAGGCCTGGCCCGTAGTAGGCACTTCCCGATTAAATGCAGATTGGCTGTTTGACCAAGAAGTGGACATCTCAGGGAGGCCCTGACTGTGCTCCCTGGAGGCAGGGACTACTGTCTTCGATACCCTCAGAGGGTGAGGTACACAAATGATTGGGAAACTGACCAGCAGCTGGTGCTCAGAGCTGCTTAATGGAGGAGGAGCTTCCCTCCAAGAGGTGTGCTGGCTGTGGCCACGGCCAGAGCCCCCATCAGGCAGGCATTAAGGGGGCTTCTTCCCTGGGGGCGAGGGGGCTGGCCCCTCACCAGATGGGCCAGATGCCTCTGGACTCTTCCCACTCTGCTGTGACTCTGTCACTTGGAATTTGACAGCTCTCTAGTCTGGCCACATCACAATCTGTTAAGAGCCTTGCCAACGCCCTCGGGGTACAGATGAAGAAACCGAGGCCCAGAAAAGGGGCTGTGACCTACTCAGGCTCCCGTGGCAGGCCAGTGGCAGCACCAGGGCAAGGACCCAGGGTCTGAGCTTCTCTCATTCACCCTGGACCCCTCCTGCGAGCAGCTGTCTTGGGATAAAGTTTCACGGGTCTGTGGATACTTTTGCTGAGCTTGTGGTCCTGCCCGTGTCATGGGGCCCCCTTGAGTCCCTACAGGTGTGGTCTCAGGATAGAGCCAAGATAAGTGACCAGAACCTCCTGCCCGGCCCATACGGCCTGGTGATCTCATGCCTCCAGCTTGCAGGGAGCAGCCATCCCCGTGTCCCAGGGCAGCCAAGCTTCAGCATCCACAGCATACAAAGGTTTCAGAATAGCACTGCTGGCTCAGAGCAGGGCCTGGAGCCAGCCCGGAGCCCTCCTCAACCCCAGCATTAGTGCAAAACACACCTCTGACTGCAGGCGTCGAAAGATCGAAAGAGGCCAAGAAAGCTTTTAAGAGCCAGGTCGACTGGCTTCTGCAGCTCGTGTGCCCCCAGGAAGGGGCCTCAGAATGTACTTGGTCTGCAGACCTCAACTCCGCAGAGAAACCCCAGGGTGCAGGCTCTGTGGCAGCCCCGGAGCGCTCCTAGACTTCCCAGGCAAGGACCCTTTCGTGATGAGTCTTCTGTGTGCCTGATCCCGCTCTGGGAATCTGAAGCTTGTTTGCTCATTTAATGCCCATAACAACTCTGGAGAGTAGGTTTCATTCTCCCTGTTTGACAGACAAGGGAACAGAGGCCCTGAGAGAACAGCTGAGCCAATGTATGGGGGTGTCGAGGTTTGAGATCAGGTTCGATTCCGCTACCCTTCCATGACCCCAGGACCCGGTGGACTGAAAGTGCAGCCCCAGAGCCCAGTCTGACAGGTTGCCAGATGGAGCCAATAGTCCTCATCCTGTCACTCTCCCAGCCCTGCCAGGTCCTTCCCAATTATCAAGTGGCCCATCCCTCCCTCTGCCCCCTCAGGGCCTGTCATCCCTCCCGGGTACTGCAGTCTTTTGTCTCCCTGCCTGAATTCTGGCCTCTTCCAAACCCCTCTCCCCAGAGCCTTGGCAGTGACCTCTCCCAGTCACACCTGACCACGTTCAAACCTTCCTGTGGCTCCTCACTGCCCTAGGGACAAGGCCCAGATCCTTATGATGGTGCCTGTCACCTACTTTTCCTCCCACTCGTGGGCCACTCTGAAAATCTCATCCCTCCTCTCTCTCATTCCCTCCCTACTCCTCTTGGGACCAAGATCCAAGATGTCAGTGATCCTGGACAGCTTTTTACCTCCTCTTTCATTATTGCTCACTAGGAACTGACCACCTACTGTGTGCAGGAACTGTGCATGTGGTGGGGATCCTGTACGCATGGATGTCTGGAGCCCTCCGATGGGCCAGGGACCATCCTCAATGATGCATCAGCCCCTGCTGCTGGCTGTGTGTTCCCACGAATGGGATTTCAAGGTCTCTGCGCTGAGGGCAGCACTTCCAGTGACCTCAAGAGCCTCAGGTGGACTCAGCTCTGGTCATCCAGACAGGGACAGCACTGAGGAAGTATTTCTGCACCCCTCATCTCAGAGATGGGGAAACTGAGGGCAGAGAAGGAAAGGGCCCTGTCCGGGTCAGGTGTCAAGGCAGATGCTTGGTTCCCCCGGTACCCATTGCAGTCCAGGCCCTAGGGCAGGTGAGATGTGAGGTGTCCATCACACACTGAGGGCTTCTGTGAGAGGTACCTTGTCTCATGGTGATGGGGCAGGGTCGGAGTACTGGGGTGGAGCATGAGCTTGCCAGAGTCCCTGCCTCTTGGACTCTGACAAGCTGTCACACCCACCCTTCTCTGTCCCACCTCTGTAGAAGCTGCAGTGAAAGATGACATGAATAGCTACATCAGTCAGTACTACAATGGGCCCAGCAGTGGTAAGTATGGGCTGGGGGTGGTTCCACATGTGTTACAACCTCTGTGCAGCCCCACACTACCAGCGACCCCTAAGCCCAGGGGTGGGGACAGCTCCGCCTACCTCCAGAGATGGAGGTGTGCCCATCTCCAGTGCCTGTGAACCATAACTTGCATGCCAAGCCCAAGGCTCAAATACCTGGAGCTTCAGCTTCTAGAAAGCTGTCACACCATTGGTGGGGGCACCCAGGGGCTGACCCGCGGGTGCCATGTGGGGATACTCTGTAATCACTAGTAAGAATTGCATGTGGGCTGGGCATGATGGCTCAAGCCTGTAGTCCCAGCACTTTGGGAGGCCAAGGCAATGGGATTGCCTGAGCTCAAGGGTTTGAGACCAGTCTGGGCAACTTGGTGAGACCTCCTCCCTATAATAAATCAAAAAATTAGCTGGGCATGGTAGTGTGTGCCTGTAATTCTAGCTACTTGGAAGGCTGAGGCAGAAGTATCGCCTGAATCTAGCGGTTGATTCTGTGGTGGCAGTGAGCGTGCCATTGCACTCCAGCCTGGGCAAGAGTGAGACTCCAACTCAAAAAGAAAAGAAAAGAAAAGGACTGCACATGTAAACCAGGCACGGTGGCTCATGCCTATAATTCCAGCACTTTAGGAGGCCAAGGAAGGAGGGCTGCTTGAGCCCAGGGGTTTGAGACCAGCCTGGGCAACATAGAAGAATTCCTCTCTACAAAAAATTAAAAAAATTAGCTAGGCAAGATGGCATGTGCCTGTAGTTGCAGCGACTTGGGAGGCTGAGGCGGAGAAAGAAAGGGCCCTGTCTGGGTCAGGCTCCTGAACCCAGGAGGTTGAGGCTGTGGTGAGCTGTGAGCATGCCACCACACTGTAGCCTGGGTAACACAGTGAGACCGTCTCTTAAAAAAAGAAAGACAGAAAAAGAACTGCATGTGGAACCCTGAAATGGGAACAGGGCTGGAATCCAGAACCCTAAGTGACCTCAGTGCTCCCAACCCGATCACCTGTCAGGGTAGGCACGGCGGAGGCTGAGGTGATACAGCATCACTGGGCTCCAGACCCTGCAGGCCTCAGCTGTGTCCTTGCTGGATGTTTCATTCTTGCGCTTGAAAAAGACCCAAGGAAGTCGAGCAGTTTTCACATATGGGAAAGACTGAATTTTGTAACAACACCCAGTCCTTCAGTGTCTTGTTTCTCTGTAGCTGATGTCTTCAGCCTTGACTTTGGATTTCACAGCCCCAAATCCTTAAACACTCCCTGGAAAGGTTAGAGTTTTCTGTTGGCTGACATGGATTTGAATCTTGCCTTCTCTGCAGTTTAGTCCCCTCAGGCCTCTTCCCTCTTGTCTCCTGTCTCTAAGCCTCATGCAGCCTGCTGGTTTCAAAGACCACCCCTGCAGCCAGACCTCTCCCCCAGGCCACGCCCCCCATGATGCTGGAAGAAACATCCCCACGCTATGCCCCCTGCTGTAGTTCGGCCCCCTGGGCACCTCTCACCTAGAGCAAAGAGCTCTGAGTCCCCCGTCTAACCCTGTGATGCATGCTAAGAGGTTAATCCATTTACTCATGCCACTTCCCATTCCCCACACCAGCCCATTTTAAAAAAATGTATTTTAAAGATGTGGGGTACAATTCAGGGTTAGGTATACGAATGTTCATTATGCAGGTACCCTTGTTGATGAGGTGTGCCCCCCCCCGGCAGTTTCCCACTACTGCCAATCTCTTATAGTATTATGATAATTGTTCAGGTTCTGCTTATGAGTGAGAACATGTGGTACTCTGTTCTTTAAAACTCCAAAAAATTCCTCAGACTGTGAAACCCCAGCTCCTTGTCCTGGTCCACTGTGCTTCCTGAGTTAGTCAGGATGGTCCAGGTTATGCTGCTGTGGCAAATAACCCCGAATCTTGGTGGCTGAAACAAAGCTGCAGCGGCCCACGGGTTGGCTGGGGGCTCTTCTCCCCGGTGCTCATCGTGACTCCGGTGCCCAATGGATAGAGCAACTGCCATCTATTCTAGAACATTATTGGCTGCCAGGACAACGCACTATCTGGCTCATGAATTGCCACAGGCCACGTCGCACGAGTGACTGGCCGGTGTGTATCACGTGACCACACTTGAATTCAACAAGACCCCCCTCCAGGGCAGGGTAGTGGATATTGAAGAACTGGAACCCAGTTCTTCTGAGGCCTCCCTCCAGGACAGCATGCCCTCCCATGTTCCGTCTACACTGCCCACCACCCACCCGGCTCCCCTGAGGCGTGGCAGAGGGTGAAGCCTTGCCAGGATCCCCTGTTCTCTTGCAGACAGCGGTGTCCCAGAGCCAGGTGTGTGTGTGGTCACCACGGCCGCCATAGACGTCCACCAGCCCAATATCTCCTCCGACCTCTTCTCGCTCGACGTGCCCCCGAAGCCAGGTGGCAACGGCACCTGCGCCAGCGCCACCTCGGAGAGCGCCTCCCGCTCCACCCGCAGCTCTGTCACCCGCGCCCAGAGCGACAGCAGCCAGACGCTGGGCTCCTCCACGGACTGCAGCACCGCTCGCGAGGAGCCGTCCTCTGAGACCGGCCCCTGTCCCCTGCCACCGCCACCGCCACCCCAGCAGCAGGTGGTGGAGGCCACAGTCCAGGACCTGCTGTCCTCCCTGTCGGAGGACCCCTGCCCATCCCAGAGGGCCTTGGACCCAGCCCCACTCGCCCGGCCCAGCCCAGCGGGCTCGGCCGAAACCAGCCCCGAGCTGGAGCACAGGGTAAGTCTGTTCAACCAGAAGAACCAGGAGGGCTTCACTGTCTTTCAGATCAGGCCTGTCATCCACTTCCAGCCCGCCGCACCCATGCTGGAGGAGAAGTTCAGATCTTTGGAATCCAAAGAGCAGAAGTTGCACAGTGTCCCTGAGGCCTAGAGCCCCTGGGAAGTGGTGGGGAGGGGACAGTGGGGAGGAGGGGAGACAGCCATCTTGAAGCTCTCCTGGGACCCTGGAGGCTGCCAAGGGCCACACGCGGGGCCCAGGAGCCCGCCTGACCTCCCTCAGGGTGCTGCCTGCCTCCAGGGAGGTGACGCCAGGCCAGAAGGCCACAAGCCTCAGACCTCAAAGCCCAGAGCTGGCGCCTCCTCTCGCCCTGCTCAGGGGAGGGTGGTGCTCGTGGCTGGGTTTTCTTTTTAACAGTTTTTACAACAACCAGCCCGCGGCCCAGCTTCGGCAGGGTGGAGTGTGGGGGGCCAGCTCAGCCTCTTCCGTTGCCTTCGTTCCTGACGCCCACCCCGGACCCTCGGGAACAGCACTGTGAGCAGGGGCTGCCCAGCCCCACCCCGAGCCGTCTTTCCCAGGAATCCTGGTGGAGCCGACACAACCACACGGAGACACCGTCTGAGCCTCCTTCGTCCGTCCTCATTCTCTCATTCCGGCATGAGCGTTTCTGAGTCTTTTCAAGACACATCTCCTTTTCACCTTTACAGGACATACGGGATGGAGGTGGGTGGGGGGCAGGGGGACAGCCATTTTCCAACCTTGGCTTTAATAATAAAAACCAGCTGCACTGAGACTTCCAGGTGGCGTGGGTTTTCCTTGGGTGGCCAGCCGGGTGAAGTATCTGGAGTAGGTTGCAGGACTCTGGGTTGGCCTGATGCCAGCCGGCCCAGGAGGTCCCTGCCACTCCTGGGCAGCCCTGAGGCCTTTCCAGGGTGGAGGAAGCCCTGGCCCCGGGCAGGAAGCTCTCACGCTGCCTGGCTGTGCCACCTAGAGTGGTCCCTTCCCCTTCCACCACCCCACCATCATTTTGCCTTCCTCCCTGACCCAGAGCTCCACCCCTCGGGGCCCTCAACCCTGGCAGGTCCAAGGCCAAGTCCAGCATCTGCCCACAGCCTGCTCTGTCTCCTGGGTTCCCAGCCAGGGCACTGTCCTCCGCTCAGTCACGAACATGCGTGGTGTTGCTGACTCCCTCCTTGTCCCCCCAGGAACAGTCGTGAATCCTGGCATACCTACCCTTCAAGTTACCTGGCCCCACCCCTGTCCGGCTTTGCTGACACCCAGGCCCGTGGCCAGGCTGGCTATAGCAGCCTTCTCTGGCCCGGCCTCTGGTTTCACCCTCCTCTGATGCTGCTGAGCCTGATCTCCCCTTCTTAAAGATTTCAAGGGGTTTTATGTTTATAACCATCATGTTTTCCTTTATATAAGGGAGAGGTGGGGAAGATGTTCTTTTTTAAGGGCTCCTGTTGCCTCTAGAGAACTGGAGTGTGACTCACAGGCCCCTCGAGTGCTGTCTTGCCGGCCCCTTTGGCTACCCCTCACGCCTCCTTTCCAACCTTTTTTCTCTTCCCCCACCTCGGGCCAGGTGTCATCAGGTCCCTGAGGGCCCCTGGATGCACCCTGACAATGCAGTGGCCCCATGACTCAGTCAGTGTCTGCTTCTGACCCGCCTGCCCTGCTGGTCTCAAGAGCAGTGGTTGGGCCCGAGTCCCATGAGAACCCAGAACCCTGCACAGGGCCACAGTCTGGGCACGGAGCCACATGGGAAAGATGGCTCAATGGGAAGGAAGCAGGGAGGTTATCACGTACAGGCAAAGAGCACTCTCCTGATTCACGGGGAGAGCAATAGTTTTCGCAAAAGGTGTTCTTGGGTGTCATCAGAAGACCTGCTAAGGGAGACTTTTGCAGAGGACAAGAGCAGCCATCCTGAGGCATCCGGGCCCCCAATAACATAGTCACACACGACCACCTTTAGTCCTTCCAGCAACGGTGAGGCAGGTATCACTAGCCCCACTTTCCAGATGAAGATCCCGAGGCTCAGAGGGATGGAAGAAATGTCCTAAGATCGGACACGAATGAGAGAGGCCCTGAAACCGGAGTCCAAGCCTGCCTGGCACTGTACTAGGCACTGGGGCTCCTAGGGTTTTGAGCTTTTGGAAGCAAAGTGGTCACTCGGCTTTTGCCACTCCATGGGCTGGAGGGCATCGTGTGGCTTGTCATCTGTAGGGCAGGAGCTGGCGGGGACAGTGGCTGGTGATCTCCCCCTGCTGGAATAGAAATGGCCACACTTCCCAGCCAGGCTCAGCTTGTTGAGCTGTGATTGGTCCTTTCTGCTGAACCCCTGCTGCCCCAGCTCTTGGGCCAGTGCTGCTGCCCCACAGGGAAGCGGGCCTGGTCGGTGCCAGAGGGGAGCTGTGAGCCCACGGCTCCCCTGAAATGCTTCCCCCATAGCCCCGGCTGCCAGCACTCACATCTGCTGGGGACCTCTGCACCAGGGAAGAACCAGGACAGGGAGGAAAGCAGTGGGATAAGACGCTAGGCAAGTAGCTCCAGCTCTGCCTCAGTGTTTCCCCCAGATTGATGGGCCTACAGAAGAGCCCTACTTTATTTTTCTTCCTGTTTTCTCTTTTTTTTTCTTCTGTCACCCTGGCGGAAGTGGAGTGGTGCAGTCATGGCTCACCACAGCCTCAACCTCCTGGGCTTAAGTTATCCTCCAGGCTCAGTCTCCCAAGTTGCTGGGACAATAACGCATACCACCACGCCCGGCTCCTTCTTCCTGTTTTTTGTTTGTTGTGTTTTGTTTTACAAGAGTTCTACTTTTAAAAGCTGATTTTTGAGCCGGGGCTTGGTGGCTCAGCCTGTAATGCCCCCGCTTTGGGAGGCTGAGGTGAGTGGATTGCCTGAGCCCGCAGGTTCGAGACTCGCCTGGCCAACTTGGCGAGCCCTCATCTCTACAATAAGTCAAAAACTAGCTGGGTGTGGTAGCGCGAGCCTGTAGTTCCAGCTACTTGGAAGGCTGAGGCGGAAGGATCGCCGGAGCCCAGCGGGTCGAGGCTGCGGTGGCTGGGAGCGGCCACTGCACTCCAGTCTGGGCGACAGAGTGAGACTCCAACGCAAAAAATAAAAAATAAAAGCTGATTTGGGGGTATTTACAAATTGCTGTGAGGTGAAATTCTGCCTGAGCACTCACTGCTGCCTTCATGTTGGGTTAGAACTGCCACCTGATGGAAACAGGTGGTCCCACCTCTCCGATTCCAGACGCAGTGTAAGAGGAAGCTACTTACCTGCCTAGGACGTCTGAAGACCTCATGGCAGAGAAAACCTGTAGAGGGAATTTTAAGACTAGGTATACTAGAATCAGCTCTTCTATTTGTCATGTGGGAGAGAAGAGCAGTTTTTTTTGTTTGTTTGTTTTTCAATTGAGTCAAGGTCTCACTCTGTTGCCCAAGCTGGAGTGCACTGGCATGAACATGGCTTACCATGCCTCAAACTTCTGGGTTCAGGCAATCCTTTCGCCTTAGCCTCCTGAGTAGCTGAGACTGCAGGTGTGCACCACCATGCCTGGCTAATTTTTTTTTTTTCTTTGAGTTAGAGTCTCACTCTGTCGCCCAGACTGGAGTGCAGTAGCCACTCCTGGTCACTGCAGCCTCGACCTCTAGGCTCAGGCGATCCTTCCGCCTCGGCCTTCCAAGTAGCCGGAATTACAGGCATGCGCTACCATGCCCGGCTGATTTTTTGATTTATTGTAGAGGTGAGGTCTCACTGCCCAGGCGGGTCTCGAACCCGTGGGCTCAGGCAATCCATTCACCTCAGCCTCCCAAAGGTGTGGGATTACAGGCTGAGCCACCGAGCCCGGCTACGAGAGCAGTTTTTATGGGTTAGTTTCAACACCAAACTACAAAGCTGACTTACTTCCAGAAAATGTGAGCAAGAAACTTTGGATTATCTTCCTGATGTAGTCGGTTGCTATAAACCATGTTTTAAAGCATGGGAATGTCAAGTAGAGGCGCTGCACAACATGACAGCCTGGGAACAGCAGTAAGATGGGACAGGCCTGTTGGGAACAGGGAGAAGTCTGGTGTTAGGAAGAGAACGGTGTGGGTCGGGAGGGGACGAGGCCACGTGGGGGCCACCTGGAAAAGGACGGTGGGGCTGGTCACTAGAGGCCTCGGATGCCAGGTCCAGCTGAATGTTCATCCTCAAGAGAGTGTGCCGTGGAAGGGCTCTCAGTGGAGCCTCTGAGATGGGATGGCTTGAGGGAGGGCAGCAGTGAGGCTGCATAGCGGCCGCAGAATGAAGGCTGAGACGCCGGGGAGACCCAAAGGGACCTGGCACCCCCTGGCTGTGGAGGGACTGGAGAGTGCCGGAGAGAGGATAAGTCACCAAGTCCGGTTTGCAGGATCTGAGACACCATGGGATGTCAGAATGGCCGTGCCTGGCACCGAGAGCGTACAAAAAAGAACACTAGAGCTGGGGAGCACTGCAGTCCTTTCCTTTTTAAGAAATGTTTTGTTGCGATGGGGTCTTGCTGTGTTGCCCAGGCTGGTCTTGAACTCTGGGGCTCAAGTGGTCCTCCCACCTGGGCCTCCCAAAAGGTGCTGGGATTATGGGAGTGGCTGACAGTCCTTTCTGCGGACAGAGAGAGCCCTTCCTCCAGGCGAGGGCGGAGGCCTCAGTCACACCTAGTCCCACTGTGGGTCCTGGAGTCCAGGAGTGCAGGAGATGGAGGTATAAGCTCTGGCTTTCACAGCTCCCCAGGGCACCATAGACCAGGGCCGTCCGGCAGCTGTGGCAGGGGAGATGGAACCAAACTCGCCCTAGGAGTCTCGGGAGGCTTGCAGCTCAGGAAATGGCCCCCCCTGCGCCTTCCTTTTACAGCCCACTCTGGTGGCCCAGGGAGCCGTCCGAGGCCTTCCCAGAAGGAGGGTCTGGAAACAGCCGCCTTCTCCTGCTAGCGATCAGGAGGATGATTAACAACAATAATGGCTGCCATGTGTCCCTCACCTGTTGTGACAGGTGCTCCTTGAGGGGTTCCCTCGTTATATAGCCTAAGAAGGGGCACGTCTTCCCTGCTTTGCAGAGGAGAAAATGCAGACACAGAATGCTAACAAATGACTTGCCCACAGGCACAAGCCCGCTGGGAAACAGGAAGGGAAAGCCCTTTGAGAATGTTTCAGAGGAGACAAACACAAGGCAACCTTATTAATAAGAGGTGCCTGCAGTGGCAGGATTCGCACCCAGGGCTGTCTGGGTTAGATGCTGTGGTGGGGACGGTGAAATGAGCTGCCCAGAATCAGACACACCCAAGAAAGCCAGAGATGGAATTCGGGATTCCAGCCCCGTGAGCCTCCAGCACGACTGGCCTGCTCATCTGTGTCACAGCTCCTGTGAGAGGAACCAGCACAGCCCAGCAGGAGTGCCGGGACCCTGTAGCCCTGGCCTGAAGCCCACCCAGGACCGGGGAACTGCAGCGCCTCCCCTGAGTGGCACAGCTGGCTGCTCTCCAGCCGGCACTGGGCCAGGTCTCCAACCCAGAACTTGGCTTTTCAGATCAGGTCCCACAGATGGGGGGTGGTGGTCACAGACCCCATGTGGTCAGAGGCTAGTGGCCTGGAATTCTCTTCAGCTTGGTGGGTGTCCAGAGGACACTCAGCTCAGGAACCCCAGCTCAATCCAAGACAGCTCTTAACTGCAGCCAGAATCACAGAACTAAGCCTCCTGTCCTTGTGCGGCCACCATGTGCCACTCTGGTGCCATTTGCTTATCTCTAAAGAGAGAAGACAGAGCCAGGGGCCC